TTGCGTATAGAATATTCCTTATCTGCAAAAGCGGTTTGGAACTCAGTAAGAGCGGCAAGTGTAAACTTTCATCTAGGTCAACATGAGATGATGTCATTAGTATCCACAGTTCTTGGGGATTGGCAGTTCCAACCTGCAGCAGGAGCTGAATATAAATAGTGACAGAAATGTTCTGTGCAGGCAAATAAGGGTTTTTTTTTGGCTGTGCCAGTGGTAATGACCACGGCTGCAGAATTTAAAGGTTTGTAGCCTACATGATAAATTGAACCCTGAAGGCTTATCCAGTTGCTGCACCTTCCTAAAATAGGTTAGAGGTTTTTGTGGCTGGTAAACAGCATGCTTCAGACAGAATGGAAGATGCTTCAGACAGAATGGAAGATGCTGGGGCTGAAGCTGCAGGAGATTGGGATCATTAACCATTTGAAAACTGGAGCAGTATCTGCATAGGCCACTAACACTAGAATCCCCTCAAGGCATTATTGTGGCAGCATTCGTGTGGCGAATCCAAGATAGTTATTTATGGAACTGAAGTATAACTGAAGTGCAAAACAGGTTTATTATTCCAGCAAATTACGAGTGAAAACCTACTTGCCTACTCACTTGGTCCTACTCACTCTGTTGAATACTGCCAACATTGGCCAGTTCTGCAGTTTCTAATTTTGATTTGCTTGGCTAGGAGGATACTTTAACAAATAACAAGCAAAGTACAGTGAATGCTGAATATCTGAAAGGGAAATTAAAATGCCAGGAACACTTAAAAATCTTGCGTTGCAAGGTCATTGCCTTAAAGCATTTCTATCTCTGCAGTTGCCTCCTTACCCACTCAGCAATTGCAGCATTTTCTGCTTTTATTTCAGATTACTTAAATACACAGTCTCTGCATGCTGGTTCTCTCCATGACAAATTCACTTGGTATGTACTGATTCAGCCATACCAGAAAGATTTGTGCTTAACTTTCTTATTCTGGGTTTTGGATCTTCTCTGGTCTCATCGGTGATTCTTTACAAGAAGAGAGCCTAAGTTGCATTGTTGGATTTGATTAGCCTTGTCTCCGTAGGTAGCACTCTTGCTTTGACTTAAAAAGTTTTAGATTTCAGCTCCATTCCAGAAACAGCAACGCCTTAATCGTGACTGGCACTTTAGTGCTAGACAGAGGTAATGTTGTAATATCAGAGGTGCAGTCTTGCAGACAGCATGTTAAAACAAAGTCTGCCACAACATTAGGACATCCTGACCAACACTGTCCATTGACTGCTATCGCTAAAAGAGATTATCTGGCCACTTGTGCAACCTGTTTTTTTTTCATTCATGGGATGAGGGTGTTGCTGGCTAGGCCAGCATTTATTGCCAACTCCTAATTTACAATAAGGCAGTTAAGAGTCAACCACATTGCTATGGATCTGGAGTCACATATAGGCCAAACATGGATGGCAGTTTCCTTCCCTAAAGAACATTAGTGTAACCAGATGGATTTGTCCGACAAGCCTTTCATGGTTACTATTAGACTCTTAATTCCAGATGTTATTTGAATTCAAATTCCATCATCTTTCATGGTGGGATTTGAACCGTGGTTCCTAGGACATGACCTGGGTCTCTGGATTGACAGTCCAGCGATAATACCACTACACCATCGCCTCCCAACACCGTACCAGTGAAAAAAAAATTCCATTGATTATGAAGTGCTTTGGAACATCCCAAGTACTAATTCTATCTTCATTCTTATATACTTGACTGAGACCTCAGAGCTGAATCAAATGGAAATCAGAAGTACTGAAAGTGAAAGAATGGTCTTTCACCTCTGGAATCTCTTTTTAAATATTCTTCCAAATGTTTGGTTTAGACCATATTGCTGATCCCTCTAAGACTGATGGTTATGGGTTAACATCCTATCTGAGCACGTAATCTGGCCTTACAGTAGTGCTGTATTGTCAGGGATATTTTCCTCTGTGATGGGATGTTAAAGAGACCTATCTGTATGTTAAAAGTCCGCAATACTGTTAGAAAAGAGTAAAGACATCTGTAAGTGCCTTGACCAACATTCTCCTTGAGGCAATACAGGTTAACTGACTAATGCAGTTTAAAAGACCTTGCTGTGTATACCATAGCTATCTTATTTACCACCAAATAACACCTTTACAAATCAAATGATTATATGGGAATTACTTGGTATAAATGTACTCAAATGAATTGAATTATTCAATGTAAAAATACAGTGAAAAGTGTGTACCTTTGCCGTACATACATGGCACCATTCAATGCTGGAAGAATGCAAGTTTATTTTTTATTTATTTTTTTCTCTCTGCATTATGTACTGACCATAAGGGTCCTTGGGAAAAATAAGAATGAAACTACCATAGTACCATTGCTAACACTGAGCATTGGACCAATTTCAAGTGCTTCCGAAAGGACCTTGCAGACTCTGTGATTGTATGTACTGAATCGTTCATAGTTGATGGTGGACTATCAGCACCAGCCTTGAACACTAAACATTGTGTTGGAGCAGCAATCTGAGCATGCTGTAAAATCCTACTGACTTTTAAGTTTGAGATAGTTATAATAACTTGAAGCAATTATTGGTATTGACTATGTGACAAATGTAGCATGTAACATGGTCCATAACGATGGAAAGATATTCATCAGTAAGGAATTTAAATTTGTTTGGTTAACAGTGATGGTCCCAGGGTACATATAAAGATGGGACTTTACAGGCCAAAGCAATGATTTTTGAGTTATGCTCAGGGTTAGGTTACTTGTTTTTAAAATGTGCTCTTATCCTTCCGCAATCCTTGTGTTTTTAAAACAGTCCTATTTCCATTTCAGCCTACCATTAAAAAGTATAGAAAAATAAATTCATGAGATCTTTACGTGACCTGGTGCTACTGGATTCCGACATCCAGGATCCACTAGCAGGCAGCAACCTCAGAGTAACCTTACTGCATTTGCAAAGGGTGACAGCACAGAGAAAGCAAACTGTTCCAAAGCTGTAGTCTCAGTGACTAGTAGCTTACTTGGGTATTATTGAACTTAGAAAGACTGGTATATCAGGAGCCAGTGGCATTATAAAAAATACCAGAAGAACTGTGGATGCTGGAAATGAGAAACATAAACAGAAATTGCTGGAAAAGCTCAGCAGGTCTGGCAGCATCTGTGGAGAGAAATCAGAGTTAATGTTTTGGATCAAGTGACCCTTCCCCAGAACACTATGCCAGCTTTAAATCAATATATGTGTACTTGGATCTGTGAATGTATGTATGGACCATTCAGTACTGCATTGCATCTTTTTGCATAACACATTAAACTAGATTCTTGTCTTCAAAGGCTCCCAAGGCACTATTCAAAGTTTTCCCAGAGTCCTGTCCAATGTATGCCTTTCAACCTACAGCATTAGGAACAGCTTAATTACTAATTCGTTGCTTCACTCTTGGCTGCTGTGTTTGCCTGTATAAACGCAGAATTTATTTATTAGCTGTGCAGCACCTAGGAGTGTCCTGAGGAAGTGATAATCTGCTATGTAAATAAAAGTTATTTTGCTTTCATTCATTGTAGGAATTCAGGGAAAGTTCCATAAACTGATTGCAGGAATGAGGAGTTTGTCATAAAAGGAAAGATTGGGCAGATTGGGCTTATACTCACTGGAGTTTCAAACAATGGAAATCAACCATATTGAAACCTGTAATATTTCTGAGGGAGCCTGGCAGGGTAGGTCCTGAGAGGATGTTCCATCCCGTGAGAGCGTCTAGAACTAAGAATCACAGTTTAAAATTAATGGTTCACCCATTCAAGAAAGAAATAAGGAAGTTATTCTTTTCTCAGATAGTCATTAGTCCTTGGAATTCTCTCCCCAAGCGAGCAGTGGAGGCTGAGGCAATGAATATGTTCAAGGCTAAGATAGACAGATTTTTGATGAGCAGGTGAGTTGAGGATTATGGGGGAACTGGCAGGAAAGTGCAGTTAAAGCAACATTAGAAAAGCCATGTTCTTCTTGAATGGCACAAGAGTCTCATATTCTAACGAGCATTGTACCTTCATCTCCAGCTCAGTCCATCTACATCACCATTCAGATCTTCCTATTTATCATCATTTAACCATGCTCCTAAGATAAAGCTGCCAAGATGGTGCCAGTTAGGGCCAGTTTTGTATCTGGGATTTTGATAAACTGACTGGACACTTGCCAAACTCAATGACTGCCAGAGCATAATAGCCAACAGAGAAATTAGATTCAATCGCATTGGCTTGGGCTGGTGTTTTGCAGCACATTGTACCAGCATTAGTCATAAAATAGATCTATGAAGGTTTGAGAATTAAAAGTATCAACAAAAGCAAGGGAAGATGAGGCAATATGTTATTAGATATAGGTTATATATGTTCATGCTTTTTGAGGGGTTTGGTGTTTGAAGAAAGCAGGAGTGTCTAATTATAATAATGCAGCCATCATGCTATTGGGGACACCTGATGGGTTTAAGATCATATTAGAAATCTGAGTGTGAAGTCTATGCGATTTCTTTAACCTTTAAGAATGTACACACCAAAAATTGTATTCCTCCCAAATAGAGGAATGTACCTAAAGGGACAGCAGCCTGATACTTGTAAAAGTCTGAAAGGAGAGAAAGAACACTTTCAAACTGTGTTCAAACAGCAAGTAATGTGTTCTGAGCTACTTTTCAAGAGTAATGTAGAGTGGGTGACCTAAGGTTTGGTGACTGAAGTAGGTTTTAAGGGGTGTCTAAAAAAATGAGACTGAATTAGAGAGATGCAAAGTTTTCTCAAATTCCTGTCTTAGGACCTAGGCCCAGTTGTCAATGATGGAGTCATTTAAATTGTGGATGTACAAGGGACTAAATTGGAGCAAGGTAGGGATCGGTCAAATCAGCCCAGAGTGTAATCTAGGATAAGCTCAAATTTAATGATAACTGTAGTATGAAGAATCATTCTAGGTGATAATAAAAAAAGTGTCCTTGATTTCCTAAATTAATATTGGTCTATACATTGTCCTTCAACAGAATTACTGCAAAAAGTATGTCAGAAGGATGAAGAGATGAGAGCATTGCAGGTACGATATGACGTGAGTATAACTTTTTCCCGTGTAGCCTAAAAAACTAGTAAGGAGCAGGCAGCAACATTTTGTGGAGCTGGGAAAGTGATGTGGCATGGGGATTATACAATGTGTGTCTGTTAGAAGATGTTGCAGTATTATGGAGCTTCTTTTCATTATCCAAATCAATATTATCCGTGACTGTATCCGTAAACTGTTTTTTGCTGTCGTTACTCTTACTCTCTTCAAAGGATGGGAAAGAGTGTAAAACACCTTGAAGCCAACAATGAAAGCAAAATACTACAGATGCTGAAAATCTGAAACAAACACAGAGAATGCCAGAGAAACTCGCAGGTCAAGAATACTTCTTTTGCAGCTGTCAAACTGGACTCATAGAGTTCACTCTGTTTCTGTCTCCACAGATGTTGCCAGACCTACATTCTCTGTGTTTGTTTGAAGGCAACAGTAATTATTTAATTAAAATTTTTTATCACTTTTTTAAAATTTATTATTCATATAACTTTTTGTATGTACTGAACTATAGCCTAAGCAGTTTGAAAGGCACAAAACTCACACGATCCAAGACATTTGAAAAGGTACCTTAACTAATCACTTCCCCTGCTAACTGGGTGCACTGTGGCAGTACGCGATGAACTGCAGCAACTTGCCAGGGCTGCTTAGTAGCAATTCCTAAACCCACAACCTCTGTCATGTGGAAGAACACGCACATGACAACATCACCAACTTGTAAGTTCCCCTTCGAGTCACTCACGATACTGTCTTGGCAACATATTGCAGCTTCTTTGTTGTCGCTAGATCAAAATCCCGAGTCTCCCTCTCTAAACAACATTTTGAGTAAACGCACAACATGTGGACAGTAGTTGTTCACTTCACTACCATATTTTCAAGGTCTTTTATTGATGGTTAATAAATGCTGACCTTTCCAGTGATGTCAACCCCATAACTGAATTAAAAAACAAAACAATTGCCAATGAGAGGCAAATCAGCAATTATTTGTAACTAACAGTTTAAATGCGATCAGAATGTCACAAGGTCCTTGACTTTCCTGCACAATATATATTAATATATTCCTCATTAATCCCCATTTTTTTCAGACCATGGTGAAAATATTCTGTCTCTGTATCTTGGACCATATTTACACCTCACTGAATTACTGAAAATCATAAACTGAATATAGACCATTATCAAATTGATATTTGTGGGACCTTGCTGTGTAAAATGTGCTCCCTTGTTTCATACCCTAATATAGTGACTTCATTAATTGTAAAGCTCTTTGTCACAAACTCAGGACAACCCAATGTATTGTAAATACAACTACGTGGGAAGGCAATGGCCTAGTGGTATTAGCACTGGACTGTTAATCCAGAGACAGATAATGTTCTGTGGATCTGAGTTTGAATCCTGCCTAGGCAGATGTTGGAATTTGTATTCAATTTTAAAAAAACTGAATTAAGAGCCGAATGCTGACCATGAATCCATTGCCAATTGTTGGGAAAAACCCATCTGGTTCACTAATGTCCTTTAGGGAAGAAAATTGCCACCCTTACCTGGTCTGGCCTACATGTGACTCCAGACCCACAGCAATGTGGTTAACTCTTGACGTTCGTCAGTTAATTTGTATGCATGCCGAACACAATACAGTACGATATAAAATATCTGTTTGTAGGTACAAATGCATAGTCACGTGGGATCTTGAAATTAATAGTGTTATGGGATTTTGTTTATATGTACAAGCATATGTAAGTTGGATGTTCATTAATTGGGGACTGCTTGTACACTTCAACATTGCCTGTTTAAATATGAACAGAAAAAGAAAGGAGACAAAATAACACTGTGATTGGAAAGAAAGTGCATTGCAGAAGCCTTTCAGAAACTGATGGAATAGAACACAGCAATAAAATATCTTGTCTGTTGGAGCTTACAGTTGAAATCTTGTTAATGCAATGAAATGTTTAACTGAAATAGAGTTTGCACTAGACGTCAAAAACTAAGATTAAGGTGCATAAAGTATAAATGCAGTACAATATGGTGAGCTGTGCACCTTTGTCACTCTGTGTCCCTTCTCCCCGCCCTCTAGGTTCTTCATGTCACCCTCTCGACTACTCCACCTCTGCATTCTGTCTTGCATCTCTCTGTTCTCTTTCACTGTTCAAACCCTCTCCCCTCCCAAACATTCAAATGGACTTTAAAATACTGTCACTGCACTCTGACCCCATTCCATTAAGTGATGTGGCTCTCCGGTTCTATACATTTATCCTGTGATTGAAATTCCTGCAGATTATTTTGTTTATGCGTGAAAGAGATTTACTGATTTATTCTACACATCAGTGAGGAAAATATAGAGCCTGCTGTAAGTGGAAGTATTTTATAATAGACCGTGTCCAGAAATGTATTTTCAAGAATTCCACGCTTGTGCTAATTCAGCACTTTAATTATATTAAAGATAACTGTGATAAGCTGTGAAATGCTGATTCTGTTCACAGGAACTTACAACCCAGGATAAATTGAGGAGGAAAGTACAATGAAATGCGGGAATTCTGAAAATGGAAGTAGCACGTAGGAATGTAGTAGATAGGAGCAGGAGTAGGCTATTCGACCCTTCAGACAGATCATAGCCGATTATGTATCTCTGCATCCCTTTTCCCCACTCCCACCAGATGTTTTTATTATTGGCAAATCTAACCTTTCTGTCATGAACATGTTCAGTGAATGAGTTTCCACAGACTTCAGAGGTGTTAGCATGGAATAGAAAATCAACTGAAACAAATCAGAGCGCATGCATAAATGGATCTTTGTTGGTTGCCAGGTTTTGATGGGTGGAGTCTTGCAGGGATCTTGCTTGGACCTCAACTCTTTATCATTTATATCAATGACTTAGATGAATGGGAAGTATGAAATGAAGGCTGCCATAGTTCCAGAGAACCATAGGCTGCTCTCTTATTCGAGAGATGGCTGATGATGAGTTTAACTTGAGGGTCACCACATCTCTGGCAAGGGGCAAGGTTGAGACATTAGGGCTTTAGTAGTGATCCTACCCATGTATGAGAGTTGATCCTGCGCTGTTGGTATCACTCTGCATTGTACAATCACAGAACTGTCCAGCTAGCTGAGCTAACAGACCCCCTGAATGTATTAGCTGCAGAGAATAAAGGCTTGGTACCGAAATTTTCAGATTGCATGAAGTTGGATAAAAACATGTCTTGTGAAGCGGTTACAGATGGATTGAGAGAGTTTCATTAAGTGGGTAGAAACCTGGCAAATGTAGCATTGTTATCATCCCTGCTGATGTTAATACTAACAAGTCAAGTTCCAGGGTGAAACTTAGCTCGATAAATGATAAGTTTAATCTTTGCAGTTGGTTACTGTGATGGTTATTCCCCAGAAATATTCATACCAGGCAATCAATATTCTTTAACTAAAGAGCGCAAGTATATTATGTAAAAGCTTTGTACCCATATGCCACTTTAGAAAGATCTTAACAAAGTTCCAAACTTTATTCCAGTAATATCCTTAACAGTTCCCAGTGAAGTATTATTCCTGCAACAACTCTTTAAATTTCTTAAACAAAAACAGAAATTGCTGGAAATTTGTGCAGTAATTTCTGTTTTTGTTTCTGATTTCTAACATCCATAGTTATTTTGTTTTTTTCTTTAATTTCTTACTTAATTGGCTCTTTCCAGTTTTTGCTAGCCTGGAGACTTCTTTCCATGTCCAATGTTCTAACCATCTCCAGTACTGATATCTCGGAAACTTCTTCACAAGCACTCAAAGCTTGGCCACTTAACAAACTAAAATCCTTCTGCTAAAGACAGACTGTTCTCCTGAACTGAAACTGAAATAACAGCATAGATGGTATCCTGTAACCAAGTCACCCTTTATTTACACTTGGAGAGTCCTTAACACTGATCCAACTCCCTCATAGCCAGCTCGAAGAGTGAACAGCATGTCCAACACTCCTGTTTATATTTGTCAGTCAGGGCTCCCTGATTAGACCAGATTAACAGCCCCAATCAGGGAACTTATATGATATCCTTCTGGCCGACCTCATTACAATCTGACTCTGAACTGAACTCAAAAAAAAACTAATGGCTCCTGGTCTAGTTCCTCTGTATATCGTAAAAGTTCAATTTTGTAAATTTTATTTGTTAACTTCACAGGTATGCTGCTAAGCATTTGACTTAAATCACATGCCTTCTTAGAATTGAGGCCTTCAATTTCCTGTTCCAAATGATTTGCTGACCTCCTGAAAAGAAAAGAATGCTTTAATAGAATTGAAATCATACATTTATTTTATCTCTACTTTAAGATCCAGACACCCAAATCATGACAATATATTACACAGCTTGATCACAGTATTAATCTAATAAAACTCCTTTGAATTGTCTCCAGTGAATTTACATGCTCTCTTAATTAAGACCAAAACTGCACACAGTACACTAGAAGTGGGCTCGCTAATGCTCCATATAACTTTTACATGATATCCATATATTTACGTTCCGTCTTTATGACCCGGAAGGCCAGATAACTGGTTAATAGGAGAAAAGAGAAATTCAAAGCCATGTATAATGGTGTTGACTGTTTTCAATTCTTTTACTTCCCAGACTTTCTTGCTTTCGTTCAACCGTATTAAGGGGCTTCATAATTTTTACCTCCCAGTTCTGCTGAAGGGTTTCTTCTTAGGGAACACTCAGTATTAATTACTTCCAGTCCAGTTTAATGGGTTTTGAGATGTTTGATAAGTGTAGTCCAAAATCTGCAGACTCTCCAACCTGAGGGGTGGGTTGTACTTGAAGGGTTAGGTAGGTGTGTTGTTTGGAGGTTTGATTGCTTCCTCTGATGGTTCAACTTCGCTTCTGCACATTCCTGGTGATGGATCTCAGCGTGTTCAGAACCTTCCTGAATGTGTCTTTTCTTTTCAGTTGGACACAAACCAGGGTCTCCCTTTAGTCAATGAGTTTTTTGACTTCTTTAATTTTAGGACATCTCCAAAAGTTTCCACTTTAATCCTGGGAGTTTGCTGTCACGATTGAGTTCTGAGTGAGAAGAGTCTAAGTAGAATCTCACAGAACGGAAAGATTTCACGCAGCTTCATGTGTTATCAAATTACCTGAGGTATTTCACCATAGCCTTGAATTCTCCTCTGAGAGTTGCAGTTGAATCTGTTTCTACCACCTCTTGCAAACAGTGCTTTCTAGATCATTATAACTCACTGTACATCTGAAACGTTAATTTGTCTATTCTCTTCTAAGATGCCGACAGAACTTGTGTGAATTTCCACTCTGCTAATTTTGGTTTGTAAATAATCATCTGATGGATACATGTTGGGGCCTGACGATTATTGAGAGCTTTTTTGCTGACTTGCATTTTGTTTTTTTTTCAGGATAGGATTGCGGACTTAGAAAGTGTGAGTATTTCATTTTGACAAATCCTTGTGTGTGCATATAACTTTTCATTCAGTCTATGTTTAGATTGACTGTTCCATGCACAATAATTGTGAATAAGCAATTAGGCATAGACAATAATGGGCCAGGGATGCTTACTTAGATTTCATGAATGAACAAGTAAAAGAACGATGCAATTTAAGGCTATTCATAGAATCATTCCAATTTATAAGTTTTACAATGCAACAATTTGAAACTTAGCAAAGCTGGCTGTTAATAGAATATTTTATAAGAGCAGAAATTGGAAGGTGAACTCAATCCTGTATGGTATAGAATGCATCTCTGCACTTTGCAGAATCGCACATCACTAATGAAGACCACTTTACCCATTTGTCTCTTTAAAACAAGTTACCTAATTAGTTCCACTATTCACCTATGACTGTGTGATTTTCTTTTTCAAGCATGTATCCAATTCCTTTTTGAGAGTTACCATTGAATCTCTTTCTGCTACCTTTTCAGGCAGTGCACTTCAAAACACCACAATTCACTGAAGTAAAACAAAATCTCATCCTACCACTCTGTTGATTTTGTCAGTTCCCTAAGATTTGGTCTTCTGGTTACGGACTGGTCTGTGAACAGAAACAGAATCTCTCTATTTACTCCATCCAAATGTCTTACTATGAATTAGTAACCATGGGCAGTATACATTTGATCATTAGTTAGCAGCAAATTGTTTACAGTTTAATTGCTATGATGCAAAAGTAATTGTACTGGTATCATATTGGGCCCAAAGGGCTGATCTAGGTGTGCAGCTAATGCAGGTTGTTAAATGTCAGTGGCCGTTGCTTTTGGAATTTTGAAGAAACTTGTAACAGTATGAATAGTCTTATCTGAAAAAGTCTTATCTGAAACCATCTGTGTAACTCGGAAGAAAGTGTAATGTACTGTGTTTCAATGAGATATCCTCCTTTTCAGGCAAAGCTGGGGCTGCATTGGCTTTGTAGAATGTGTTGCTTGTCCAGAAGGAGCATTGCTTAGAACTGCCTTTGAATGGGATCGTCCTGTAGAAGACACTGAAAGATCAAGAAATCCCCTTAATTACATTGTAGTTCTTGTCCCAAAACTTTGTCCTTTGTCCTTTGTCCATCATCATTAATTTTAGGAACAGGGGTAGACCATTCAACCTCTCAAGATGTTCCACCATTCACTGGCATGGCTGAGCTGACCTAATGCTATACCTTTAGTCCATATAGCAACTGATTGGCATTAACTGCTGTTTGTGGAAGAGAGTTCCAAAAATCTACCACCCTTTGCGTGTAGAAGTGCTTCCTGACATCTCCCCTGAACAGTCCGGCCATAACTTTTAGATTATGCATCTTTGTTCTTGAATCCTCAACAATTGGAAATATCTTCATCTGCTCTGTCTTTTCCTGTTAATGTATCAAAAACCTCAATGAAATCATCCCTTAACCTTCCAAATTCTAGCGAAAACATATCTAATTTGTATAATCTATTCTCATTATTTTACTCCTGAAGGGCGGATATCATTCTTGTAAACTTGCCTTTCTCTCATCTTGACAACTTATTGAAGAAATAAGTTACCTGTGCGAGGTTATGTGGCATACTGGGCAGTAAGTGGCCCTGGTTGATCATTCCTTTGCAAGTGCTGCTTCATAGCACTGTCAATGGCTCCTTCCATTACTTTACTGAATGATCAAAGGTAGATTGATAGGGCGATAATTGGTCAGGTTGGATTTGTCCTGCTTTACAGTACTATTGCCAGAACGTTGTCAGATCCCATAGATTTTGCAATGTTCATTGCCTTCAGCAGTTTCTTGATATCATGTGCATTGAGTCGAATTGAATGAAGCCTGGCATCTGTGGTTTTGAGGGCTTTTAGAGGAGTCTGAGTTGGACCATCCAGTAGGTACACCTAACTGAAGATAGATTCAAGTGCATCTACCTTGCCTTTTGCATTGATGTGCAGTATTTCCTCATCATTGAGGATGGGGATATAGAGTCTTAGAATAATGCAGTACAGAAGAGCCCCTTCGGCCTATTGAGTCTGCACTGACTAAACTATAAATCCCACTTTCTAGCGCTTGGCCAAGAGCCTGGAATGTTATGATATTTCAAGTGCTCATCCAAGTAATTTTAAAGGACGTAAGGTGTGACACCTCAACTACCCTCGCAGGTAGTGCATTCCAGATTCCCATGACCTTCTGCATGAAAACCCTTTCCCTCAAATCCCTTCTAGGCACCCTGCCTTTCATCTTAAAATTATAACCCCATGTTACTGGCCCTTCAATTAAGGGGAACAACTGCTTTCTATCCACCCTGTCCATGCCCCTCATAATTATATACATCTCTGTCAGGTTCCCTCTCAGCCTTCTGTGCTCTAAAGAAAACAAGTTGATCTTATCCAGAGATAGCAAGGTGTAGATCTGGATGAACACAGCAGGCCAAGCAGCATCAGAGGAGCAGGAAGGCTGACGTTTCGGGCCTAGACCCTTCTTCAGAAGGGCCTTCT